ATAAGAACGTTAAAATATCTCGGCATCTGGTTTCGTACACAATCAGGGAATACTGGGAAATTTTTCATAACGATATCCATTAAAGTAATTATTCTATTGGTCGCTTTTATTGTACCAGCGGGAGATCAACTTGTGTATTTATTGCGTTTAATATACTCCGGGAAAGCAGAACTACAAGAGGTAGTAGGGATGTTAGTATACTTATATTATAAAACTCCACAATTAAGTGATTTATATGTGTCTTTAAAAACCAAAGAATTGCTTCGGAAGAAAATTGTGTTTTTATTTATTAATTTATTTTGCCTTTGACTTTATTTTGTTTATGGAAATTTCATAATGTCTTTGCTTTACTGATGATTAAAATTTAATAATACTTATTAATAGGACTGACTTTAAGATAAAAGTTGGTAATAATAGTAGCTTAAAATAATCAAACTTTTGTTGCAGAATAAATTTAATATTAACGGAATTATTAATTATAATAAAACTATTGCACTTATATTGGAATCGGAGAAATCTCTATAAATTGATGGATAAAATAATTGACGAAGACTTTTACGTTTTGTCTAAGAACCATGCAAGACGTTTGAAAAAGTCTATAAAACGTTCCAGAAGGCTCTACATATATTTACTTGCGAGTTGCAGTTTAGACGTTACTGGTAAAACAATTTATTTGAAATACAATTAAATAAAATGAATAATAATAATTAAATAAAAAAATAATAATAAAAGACGACGCAGACGTTGCCTGTTGTGTAGTGTAGTGCTTAGTAGAAAAGTATCTTAATGTACTTAACTATAGTTTGTTGTTTTCAGTGCACGTAGTTGTAGTTCCAGTTCTGCACAGGTTCCGAGTATTGCCAGTCAAGATGGATTTTGTTTACATCGATGTTAACGATGACCCGTACTTCAAATATATATTTGTATATCAGGTATCTTTTATTTACAAAAAAATAACTATAAATGACGTTCAACGTTTTTAATATAATTTGTTTTTAGATTTTATACAAGCCAGTTATTCTCCTAACATTCGTCGCTATGAAAACATTATCTTGGTCCTGCATTATATTTGCAAGTAAGATTTATGAATGTTTATACAACTATTAGAGGACAACTGTAATAGTAAAATTCAATGTTATTTTCAGGTAGCCAATTAGATAATTTACGTGACAATATTATAAATATGAATTCTTCTGTGAGAAATTTCATGAAAACAAATGATTGTGATAAACGTTTTGCGTTCAAAGAATTATTTAAACTTTGCGTACAACATCATAATTCTATTTTAAGGTACATAATCTATATCTATACTATTATAATAAAGCGTAAACACACACTTCTTTGTTGCCTAAGATGTTAGCTATTACAAAATATTTTTGAATACTTCTTTTTTTAATAAAAAGCCCTACACTTACGTCACGCTTTAGGCTATACATTTTCACGCCATTAAACATATGGGATTAATATTTTGAATGAAAACCCTAATGTGGGAAAGAGACCATAAGTTGCTACCAACATCAAGGAAGTAAGATTGCCAAGGTTTGTCATGTCATGTCATTTGGACATTTGCTATTGATAATTTGACAAATGTGAACAATAAAATAAAATTTTCATAATTCCATGCGAATGCAGCCGCAAGGGAACAGCTAGTGATATTTGATTATCTTTTCTGTTAATATCGATGGTTGACTGTCGATGTAATAGAAAAGTTTGCTTTTAATAAAATAAAAAAAAACCTTTTAAAGTAATATTACGTGAAAATCAAAATGGCACTGAAAGATTTAATTTACATTATTTTCAAATCCAGCTGCAATTTTGAGTGTAATTTATAAAAAGATTTTTATTTTTATGTTTTTTTGTTTATTTTTACTCAAATACAAAGAATCAGAAACTCTTTTTAATTTAATGTGCCTTAGAACTTCGATTAATATTACATTTTGCTTTTAGCTTTGTCGAAATAATTCAAGCGACATTCGGAGGTCAGTTTTCATTGACGTTAATATTCAACGCTTGCATAATATGTACGACATCGGTACAATTCTTCTCGGTGAGTAAACTATGAGCGTCGGTGGCTTAGTGGTTTAAACACTTGACTTGTAATCTACAGGTCTTGGGTTCGAATCCCGCCATGTACCAATGTGATTTTCGATCTTTAGAATTTCTTAAGGTGAAGAACAACATCGTGATGCCTGCACATATCGGCGATGAAATTCAAAGATATGTGTGAAGTCAACCAACCCGCACTAGGCCAGCGTGGTTGACTAAGGCCTTGTCACCCTAAGTTTAG